GGCACGTGCCCCAGCCAGGGAGCAGGGCCAGGACCCCCCGCACCCGCCTGGTGACCCCTCCGGGGGCAGCGTCAGCCCAGCCCAGCACCCCACGTCCAGCCCTGGCACGGCTCAGCTGCCCCCCCCAGTCCGTGATGGGCTGGGCGCTGGCCCGGACCCCTCCCAGCCCCCTCAGAGCACTGGTGGGGGCAGGGGCAGCTCTCAGGCCATGGCCGGCTGGACAGCGGGAGCTCCAGTGCCCAGGGAGCCCTGGGCCACGTGGGGCAGGGCAGTGGGGGGTGGGGGTCACGCCTCCCCCTTCCTTGGGGTCAGCACTTCACCTTTGACCTTTCATGGAGGCACACGGACAGACGGATGGTGGGACAGACCCCAGGGTGCAGCCTGGGCGCTGGGGCAGGGGGAGGGGGTGGCAGCAGCACTGCCGGCGTGGGCACGGGGCAGAGATGGGGTCATGCAGGGAGGGCAGGGCTGGGGCGGGCAGGCAGACATGCCCCAGGCTTCCCCCTTCCACCCCGGGCCCTCAGCACCCGCCCCAGCCCTGCCGCAGCTTTGGCACTGAGCAGCCAGACACAGCGTGTGCATCGGGGCTGGGGGGCACCATGCTGGACAGGGCACGCACCGAGACGTGGGGAGGGGGTAACACTGACGGTGGTAGCCAGGCGGCCGCGCAGGCCCTCACCCAGCCGGGCACCTACGTGAAAAGGCCGCAGGAGCCAGGGCCAAGGCTGCGCCCACTGCACACCGGGCAAGGCTGGCACGGGGGGCAGGAGCAAAGCAGCAAGGAGGCAAGTGGGGGCCCAGCCAGGGCAGGGATGCCCCCGGCATCAGAGCCAGCGGCCCCCGCAGATGCCTCCTCTGCCCCCTCCCCACCCAGGCAGGGCCTGATCCTGGCAACGTAAGGGATCAGGTGCCCGGTGGAGCTGGGAGCGAGGGGATACAGGGGACCTCTGTCCCAGCACCAGCCACTGACCCCAGCAGCTGCCGCGGGCAGTCCCTGGCCCCCTCCCCCCTCCAGCCCCCCGGCAGCAGGAGGTGCCCCCGGGCTGGGGGCAGAAGGCTCAGAAGCGGGTGCTCTGGTACCGCAGCCTGCGGACCTCGGCGCGGCCTTCGTCCCGGCAGGACAGGTTCCTGCAGGGACTCGCTGCCAGTCACCGAGCCCCCGCGCTGCCCCCGCCGCCCCCGCTGCTGGAGCTGGAGCTGGAGCTGCTGGAGCTGCCACTGCTGCAGCGGTCCTCGTAGATGGAGATCTCGATCTGCGCCGCACGGCTAAGGACAGACCCATGGGCTGGGCGGCTCCCCCACCACTTCCCCCAGCCCCCCCCCGCAGGGCCCGGTGCCCAGGAGGATACGACCCTCATGCCGCGCTCCAGCGGGTCGGTGAGCAGCAGCCCCCGCGGCGCGTATATCTTTTCATTCTGCTCCTGGATGTACTTGGAGATCTTCTTCAGCACCTGCCGGGGCCGCAGCACATGGAGCAGGCCGCCCCGCAGCCCCCAGCCCCTGCCAGCCCGGGGGCCAAGGCACCGACCCCCGGGCCAGCCGAGCCCCCGCTGCGTTCGGACGCGATGCTGCGCCCCGTCCTCCGCCCAGGTCCCTCCATGGCCAGGGCCGCCCCCCATCCCCTCCCCTCCTGCAGCCATGGATAGGGCCCAGGCGTCCTGGCCCCCCGTGCGGCCCGCTCTACCCACTGGGCAAGGCTGCCTGTTGAGGCAGCAGTGATGTGCTGGATTTCACCCCTTTGGGAGCTCAGCTGCCTGGCGCCCCTGGCCCTGGCTGCCCCTGCGCCCCCCCTGCCCCGCACCAGGGAGCCCGACCTTCTCGTAGTGCGTCTCCATGCAGAGGAAGATGAAGTAGGCGGTGGCGCAGGCCAAGCAGCCCTCCAAGTAGGAGCTGCCCCCAATCTTCTCGGCCTCAGCGTAGTAGTTGTTGAGGGTCTTCACCGTCTCCTCGAAGAGCTGGCGCTCGATCTGAGGGGATGGGGAGGGTGGGCGAGGGGCGCAGGGCAAGGGCAAGGGCATGGAGCCGGGCAGCCCCACAGCTTCCCTCGCCCCGCACTGCTCCAGCCTTAGGGCCAGAGAATCAATGCCGTGGGGACCCGCGGGGTCACATCCAGTCCAACCCCCGCCTGGGGCAGGATCGGCCCCGTCCAAACCAGCCCAGACAAACCCCGTGTCCGACACAGTCACCCCTGCCCCTGGGATACAGCGGGGCCGCGGCCACCAACGTCCTGCTGCTGCCAGGGGGTCACGGCGCTGCAGAGATCCCAGGCCAGGCCGTGCCCCCACTGCAGAGGAAGGCAAACCCCCAGTGCAACCAGTCTGGGCAGGGGGGAAATCCCTTGCTGCCCCAGTGCAGCGTGGGGCTGAGCCCAAGCACAGGGGCAAGACCCCCCAGCCAGGACCCTGCGGGGTGTGTGCCAGCAGGAGCATTGGCGCAGCCCAGCCCCATGCCCAGCCCGGGCTGCAGCACCAGCGCCTCTGGGGGAGGATTAAACCCCCCAACACCTGCAGCTCAGGCGGAGGGCAAGTCCCCCACAAGGCAGCCTGCAGAGCCACAGGCCTGGGAGACCCCAGGCCCCCCCGCTCTGCCCTGCGGCCAGCAACCAGGACCCGCACGTCCACCCTGACTGCAGGGCCGGAGCTCCCCTGTCCGTGTCCCCTCCATGAGCTGACCCCAGTGCCTTTAACCTCCTGTCGGCACCAGGCCCCTGCGAGCTCTGCTTCCCTCTCCGGCAGCTGGGCACGGTCCCCCCAACACCCCTCTGCGCTGGGCTGCAGCTCTTCTCCTCATCTCCCAGCCACGCGTGTGCGGAGGGGGGTCCTGGGCATCCAGCTGTGTGCTCCAGGCACGGCTGCTCCCAGGTCCTCCCTGCCCAACGCTTACCCGGCCTCCTCTCAAACACCCCCAGCAATGGAGAGCTCACCCCTTCCCTGGCGTCTGTCCCACAGCTGCCCTGCTCTCACGGTGCCCAAGCGTTTCCTGGTCTCCAAATAAACCTGCCTTGGTGCCACTTCAAGCCACTGCTCCGTGTCCTCATCTCTGCAACCACAGGACGGGCTTTCCCTCTTCTCTCTGGCAGCCCCGCAGGGATTTGCAGACCGCTCTCATGTCCTCTCTTAAACAGCTTTTCCACAACCTGAACGTGCATTGTCCAGCTCCTTCAGCCTCTCCTCCCATGACTTTACCTCCCAAGCCGTTGATCATCATGTTGCTGCCGTTGGACCCTCTCTGACTTCTCCGCATCATTGTAAAAACATGGAGCCCAAAACAACACGCCAGGCTGTAGATGAGGGCTGACCCATGCCAAGCAGAGGTACCAGCACCCACCTTGTTTGGCACCTCACGCTCCTATTTTATTGATGCAGCCAAAACCGCGTTGGCCTTTTGAGCAGCGGCATCACAGGGCAGAGTCGGCTCCACCAGGACTCCCAGCTACTCCTCTGCAGGGCTGCCACCCAGCCAGGGGTCCTCCATCTCCTACCTGGGTTGTGGTCCTTATAGTTTCATAGTAGTTTCATAGTTTCTAGGGTCGGAAGGGACCTGAGCAGATCATCTAGTCCGACCCCCTGCCATGGCAGGAAAGAGTACTGGGGTCAAACGACCCCAGCAAGGTGTTCATCCAGCCTCCTCTTAAAACCCCCCAGGGTAGGAGCCTGCACCACTTCTCTTGGAAGTTGGTTCCTTCTTCCCCAGGTGCAGCACTTCACGTGTCAGCCTTGAGCTTCATCCTGCAGGCTCCAGCCCAGCTTCCCCTTGTAGCAAGAGCCTTCTGAAGTGCACTCCTGATGTCTCTTAGGCAGGCCTCAAAGGGAGCATTTGTGCTGCTCTGGGCGCTGCATTTTAAACAGGATGTGGAGAAGTCAGAGAGCGTCCGGGACGAGTGACAAAGGTGATCACGGGCTTGGAAGGCAAGTCCAGTGAGGAGGGGTTGGAAGAACTGGGCACATGAGGTGCTGGAGAGGGGACACGAGAGCAGCTTGCAAGTCCCTGAAGGGCTGCCACGAAGAAGAGGGAAAGCCCCTGCTCTCTCCTGCCGCAGAGCAGGATGCGCAGCAAGGGCCTGGACTTGCAGCAAAGCAGCTTTAGACTGAAGCACTTCAAATAACTCGATCATAGACACTGAGGGCTGGAAGGGATCTCGGGAGGTCACATCTAGTCCAACCCCCTGCTCCAAGCAGGCCCAGCCCCAAGATCATCCCAGACAAGGCTTTGCCTACCTGGGTTTTGAAAACCTCCAAGGATAGAGCTTCTCCCACCTCTCTGGGGAGCCTGCTCCAGTGTTTTACAACCCTCCTACCGAGCAGATTCTTCTTAATGTCCAACCTCAGCTTCCCTTGCTGCAGCTTGAGCCCATTGCTCCTTGTCCTGTCATCAGCCCCCACTGAGGACAGCCCAGCTCCATCCTCTTTGCAGCCCCCCTGCAGGGAGGTGACGGCTGCTGTTCAGTCCCCCTCGGTCTTCTCTTCTGCAGACTCAATCAGCCCAGTTCCCTCGGCCTCTCCTCTCTAGTCCTGTCCCCCAGCCCCACGACCATTTTCATTGCCCTCCACTGGACTCTGTCCCATGTGTCCACATCCTTTCTGCAGTGGGGGCCCACAGCTGGACACAGGACTCCAGATGTGGCCTCCCCAGTGCTGAATGGAGGGGAAGAATCACGTCCCTCCACCCGCTGGCAGCGCTCCTACCGATGCAGCCCAGGACGCCGGTCACCTTCTTGGCACAAGGACACACTGCTGGCTCCTGTCCAGCTTCTTGTCCCCTGTCCCCCCAGGTCCTTTTCTGCAGAGCTGCTGCCCAGCCCGTCGCCCCCAGCCTGCCCCGGTGCAGGGGACTGCTCCCTCCTCAGTGCGGGACTTTGCACTTGTCCTTGTTGAACCCCATGGGATTTCTTTGGGCTCCATCCTCCAAGTTGTCTCAGTCACTCTGCATCCTACCCTGCCCTCCAGCATATCTACTACATCCCCTAGCTTGGTGGCATCTGCAGACTTGCTGAAGGTGCATCCATCCCATCCTCCAGGTCACTGATGAAAACCTTGAACAAACCCAGCTCCAGGACCAACCCCTGGGCACTGCACTTGATACCGGCTGCCAACTAGACATTGAGCCATTGATCACGACTCTCTGAGCCCGATGCTCCAGCCAGCCAGGTGCTCTATCCAGCTCACAGTCCAGTCATCCAGCCCGTACTTCCTTAGCTCACCTGTGACAATGCTGTGGGAGACGGTATCAAAAGCCTTGCTAAAATCCAGGTACACCACATGCACAGGCCTGCCCGCATCCACAGAGCCAGCCACCTCCTCGCAGAAGGCACCATGTTGGTCCCCTGGTGAATCCACGATGACTCTTCCTTGTCCCCAAAATGCTCCAAACAGTCCTGGCTTGCCTGTGCACTGCTGTATTGCCTTCCCAGCGGAGGTCAGGGGGATTGAAGTCCCCCGTGACAGCCCCCATGATCGGGGGACTCCCAGGAGCTGTCTGAGCAGGGAGGCAGTGGGGGAGATGCCGGGGAAGGTGTCGACTCTCCATCACTGGAGGTGTCTGAGCAGGGGCTGGGCCAGCGCCGGGCAGGGCAGGGCTGGGCTGAGAGCAGCTGAGCCTACAGCGGGCTGTGAAGAGCCGCAGTTGGAAGCCAGCCCCCCTTGAGCACAGCTGGAGATCGCAGGAAGACCTCTGCGACGCAGAGCGGAAGGAAATCGGAGGGGAAGCAGAGCCCCACACCCAGCCTGATTATGCAACAGGATTAAAGAGCAGGGACCTGTTCATGGAGGGGGAGAGGTGGCAGGCAGGGCACTGCTGGCTCTGCAGTCGGGAGGCTGTGCGGGTCCTGCCTGATGCCCCCAGGCTGCAGGGCAGCGGATGGGGCTGGTGCTTCCCAGGCTTTGGGGCTCTGCTGGCTGCTTCATGGGGCCAGGAGGTGATTTTTTTCCCCTCCTGTTGCTGCAGGACTCAGGGTTTTCCCTTCTTGCTCACCAGCACTGGATGCCAGCTGCAGCCTGGGCTGGGGCTGTGCCAATGCTCCTGCTGGCACCAACCCCTCAGGGTCCTGGCGGGAGGGTCTTGCCCCCGCGCTCAGCTCACCCCGCGCTGCACTGGGGCAGCAAGGGATTTCCCCCCTGCTCGGACTGGTCGCACTGGGGGTTTTTGCCTTCCTCTGCAGCGGGGGCACGGCCTGGACCTGGGCACTCTCAGTGCATTTTAACAACCACCTCCTGACCTGGCAGGGGCAGGGCGCAGGCCAGGCTGTCATCCCCCTGCTCTCCCTGGGGCCGGTCATGGCACGCTGGGTGCCAGGGGGCACTTGCCTGGCAGCCGTGCAAGGGCCGTTTATGCTGCTTTAAGGCCAGCGGCTCTCCCCGCTTCTAGACCCGGGATGCCCTTGGTAGAGCCCAGGCCCCCTGGGAATATGCCACCTCTGTGCTTCCCCTTGGGCCTGGACTACAGAAAGAGCAGACCACGTCTCCTGTTGCAAAGAGCCCAGCCGACACAGCCAGGCACACCCTGTGGACCCCATCTGACACCTCTGGGCCAGCCTCATGCATCAGGGGCAGGTGTTTGCACAGCCGTTACTGCACTGCCCCCCCCAGCCCCCAAAACGGATCTCACAGCGCCCCAGCATGGCCCAGCTCCCTGGAGGGGAATCCTGGGGCTGGGCCCACCCTCGCGTGGCCTGCACGAGTCAGGGGTGGGACTCGATGTGGCCTCCTGAGCGGTGCTGGGAGCCTAAGAGGAACCTGCATGGCTGGGGCAGTGTGGGGGCGTGGGGGCTGTATTACCCTGGGGGTAGCACTCGTGCTGGGGTAGTGCTGTGTGTGCATGTGCGTGTGCATGTGTGTGAATGCATGTGCATGTGTATATGTGCTTGTGTGTGCATGTGGGGTGTGCGTGCGCATGTGTGTGAATGCATGTGCATATATGCATGTGTGTGCATGTGTGTGAGTGGATGCATGGGTGTAAATCCATGTGCGTGTGTGTATGTGAATGCACGCGCATACGCGCATCTGTGCATGTGGGTGCACGTGTGTAAATGCATGAGCATGAGCATGTGCATGTGGATGCATATGCAGGGGCATGTGTACACGCACGAGCGTGTTAACCCTTGCTTCTCTGGCAGAAGGCAGCACCTGGCTAGCCCCCAGCACATCCCTGACCCCCGCCCCCGCTGAGCGCGGCCGGCTCCTCGCTGCCCTGGCGGAGCGGGGGCACGGCGGTGGCAGACAGGCGCGAGGGGACCTACCCGGCTGTCCAGCTCCGGGGGGAACTTGGTCTGGAACTGGCACACGGTGCCCTCGCTGTAGTCGCGCTGCACGAAGACCTTGGTGGCCAGCGAGGCGCTTCGCCGCAGCTCCTGCAGGTTGTGCACCTGGGCCGGGCGGCGGGGCTCAGCGGCGGCCGCGGGGCACCACCACGGCCCCCCCGGCCCCCCCGGCCCC